ATAATATACTCACCACAGGATATTGCAATTTTGGACAATCTGGTTGGTTCCCTACTCAAAGCATATGAGGCAATGTACCATTACTACCTTATTTAGGAAGCCCGCTAATAACGAGTTTATGTTTTTCAAAATAATAAATATCCCATTTTCCTCTGTTGTTTTCCTTCCGTTCTTTCCCAAGTAATTTTTAATTGCAATATCCTGTGGTGAGTATATTATAAAACAATTATTTCACTCAATCTCGTCGTACATGAACTCATAGCCAACTCGGCTACGCCTCGTTGGCTATGAGTTAATGTACCACTCGATTTCGTGGAATAATTGTTAAATATGCAGTTTAGCTGCAAATTAGCTGGTGTGTCATTTTATTTCTTATGAGATCATGTCACACCTTCATAGCTAAGTGTATTACACAATAAACTTGTATCTTATCTTAGTTGCCAGGCATAGTTACCTTTGGAATGATTACATCTCTAAAGTCCTCTTTCCACATCCGTCTAAACTGTGTTTGCGACAAAGGGGGTTTGGTGGATTCTCGGTACATTTCACAAACCTGAGAGATAGTCATGCACGAAGGCAGCTCCCGCCTTTTTACATCTGGCATTCGATTCGCAAATGATGTCACAAATTCCTCGAACCACAGTTCAGCTCTCATCCTTCTCCGAGATTTGTAAGTCATTCCTTGACGACAGTGAATACTACAAGTTATTCCTCGTTTTTCGAACTGGTTTCTCCAGTGATGATATCTGTTGAGAGTCACGATACGTGTGATGATCTCGATTAGATTAAGGTGGCTCCTACCATTCTATTATATAACTTGGTGTGCAAATAATGCTATAAAACGAATGCCCGATAATGGGTGAACTGGTTATGATCGCATTCTGGACATAAAAGGTTACCATAGCAACAGTATAACTTGAATGAACCGCCCTTTATTTTAGCTTTAAGTGCTTATAACTAAAAAACGAGCACCGTGACTCCCATCAACACTCTAACATACAACTTTTTTCAAACGGTAGAACAAAAAATCTATATTGTAGATTCAAAAAGTTGTATCTCATAGTGCTAATCATCACCCATTATTTGGCATCCATTTGATACTATTATTATTTATTTTAACATCAGCTGATATAGGATAGAGGTGGCGATCAATCAGAGCATAAGGGCTGTAATTATTTACCAGCCACTTCAGTCAAAATGCAAATGACGAGTAAAAATGTAAATCCCAATTTAATTTTGCAAGGCATTGACTGCTATCTCTTGGTGAAATGATTTTGCATTCGTAAATGTTTGTTTTTCTAACCAGTCATAAAGAGTTACATACCTTCCATATGCTATCCCATGGCTAAATATCCATGCTTTCTGGCAGACATCTTTTTTTCAACAGAATGGGCATACACCGTTCTTTGGCCTTTTGACCTTCGCGCTACTTGGAAGAAGTTTAACAAAAACTGTCCTTGTGCTTCTCGCGACTTTTTAAAGAACCATTCTCTTGTTTTGTAGATGTCGGATTTTGTTAAGATCAATGTAATACAATTTTTGTAACAACAGCTTCCAGCCTTGATTTCTCTTTCGATGTTTTCGTAGTTCACTTTCCTTTTTTGCATAATTTTCTCCGCCTTTTCAGGTTTAGGATGCGTTTCCATGTGTACTTGATCGGACTTGAATTGCAATCTACGTTGAAAACGACTGTTGTCTGCACCTTGTTCAGGGGAGGGCAAATCATCTACCACATCCTTACACAGGTGACAAAGGACAAGACAAATTCAGTGCCATCATATACCGGCTACCCGGGAAGTCGACTCATTAGAATTTTGGTTTGGGTAATATGGTGGCGCCAAAATGTAAAATTTCAAACGTAGCTTTCAAAACGTTATACCACGCCAACTTATATTTTCTAATTAAATACTTTTTACTTGTTGAAGATAATTTTGTACGTTCTCGTTGCTCCTTTCAGTTTAAAAGCATACTCTAATTAATCAGGGTGCAAAATAACCGCAAAATATTATACTTTGTTTGGCTGAAGTCAGCCATAAAAACATACCGTTTGGGTTTAATATAAATTATACAAGACAAAAGCTTCTGAACACAGCATTAACATGAATAATTCTTACCCTGCGGTCATCATCAAAACTTTTGTTGACATCTATCGTCGACGAGCAGTCAGATTCGTCCCAATAATACTGAACAAAAATCGAAATCGTGAAAACTTGATGAGTTGAGATTAAAAGCAGAGTAATGAAATCTCATACGTACATTAACAAACCTCTGTGTCTGTGTCTTCTTCATAACTACTTTCATCTTCGTCATCCTCGAATATGTTACAATTGCAAGCCCCACCACAGTTGCATGAGGCAGCCTTCTTATTCCCCTTCTGCTGATGAGACGGAAATAATTAAATCGATCGATTGATATCGATTGATCGATCAATCAGCCAATTAAAATATATTACAATTTTTGTAAACAGTCTCTGTGGCTAAGCTGTATGCTTAGTCTGACTAACAACATACCGTTAATATTATATTCTTTTCGTAACAGATTATGCTTGACATCAAAATTATATAATGATCGGAATGCCCGGGTGCGCCTAATTTCACTTGTCATATACCAACTCATTCCGTTAGCTTACCTTCCTACCACCTCCTCGTAGTCTCAAACAACCTCCGCGGGTGCGTATTATTTCCTTCAAATATATACAAAGGGAAACAATTAAAAAAAAAAAGGTTTTTCCATATCAGAAATTTTCATCAACTAAAAGTGCATAATTCATTTACCTGTGTTTTCGTACTTTCGTCAGCCCCAGAAGATAGCACTATACCATTTTCCGTCTGATCCTCTTTGGATACGATCGATGGGGAGTTTAATAGTAGATTGGAAAATCTTTCCAATTCCTGTTCAATCGCCTTTTGCGCGGTAAATACCGCTGTATTGCCAACCTCTTTGTAGTACCAGAAGAAGAATGGATATCCCGGCGGACCGTAATCGTCGCCGTCGTGACTATTACCGTCGTACCAGCTATATTCGGCTCCTGTGGGCCTGAGTGTGTGACCTTCGTTAGTATAACCGCCTGTCATATTACCTTTTCTCGTTTCAAGTATTCTTGTAAGTTTAGCACCGAGGCGAAGCGTTATTGCAACGGCGAGCGCCATAAAAGTAAACAAGAGTAACGTGTGGAGCTTTGAGATACATGTAGCCATCGTGCAGGTCAAAGCATGCAATGTCTGATTTGATTACAATACTCGTGTTGTCAAGTAAAGTCGACTTTCGCGCCATTTTTACACACGTACTCCTTATTGGCTGTTCATAGAGTTATTACTGCGACCCGGACACCTACAGTTTTCCCGCCAAATTAGAGGGACGCGCGTAGGCGTACTATTAGTTCAAACAATAAATTATTTTCCCCCTAATCCAATCACAAAATGGAATGACATTTCTTCTCCCAAGGGAATCAAATTAAAATAGGGGCTGGTGATGCGGTACATGGAAGCCGGAGAATACATGCAAGAGTTTCCGACACAGTTTCACTTTCACACCCACGCATAACAACTTATTTCCTCTTTAGCCCAATCACAAATTAGAAATATTTTCCCAAGGGAAACATTAACACTGATGCGATGTCGTGTCCTGCCAGACGTTATTTGTATCCTGAGAAGCACTGCGTGACAACCCGAAAAGCTTTGCGAAGCCGCGAAATTTTACAGACAACCACAACAAAGAATATCTTCTCCGAAGTTATACAACATACAATCACATTTCATCTTGTGAGCTAATGACTCGATCGATAAGTATTACTGGACAGATGCCATTATCACAAGATATTTTAAATTCCCGTCTATATATCAACTTTTGACTGTCCAAAAAAAACCATTCCCGTAGCGGCAAACACATAAACCGCCTACTATTTTTAGTAAACTTTTAGTAAACTGCGACGTTACCGTTAAAAATTGGCCCGCGACTCTAATTCAATTCCTGGTTTATAGGTCTTGTAAGACCAGATTCGATATTAGCATGTTTCGTGTTTTTAAAATTTCCAGTTAGTTAATGTTGGCATTTCGAGAACCTTACAACAAGCTATTAAAATGAGATTTCGTGTCCAAAGATGTTGGCTTATATCCCGGGTATAGTCTGTTTTGCATTTGGGTCATCGAAGTGCATGTAATCCTAAATTACTGAACTAACGTCGAATCGTTGTGGTAGTCTGATTGTTTTGATTATGTGCAGACCATGAACCAACTTGTACATCGAGTTGTTTCAGCTCGAAGCTTTTGGTAATTCCGTGGGTTAATATATATAATACTTAATCCATATTCATCCCAAGTATTTCGCAGTATTACATACTTTTCAAATACCCTGCTTCGTCCGGCGCTGACCTAATGCACCCGGGGATTCAATATTTGTCTTTAGTTTGGGTCATCCAACTGCTTTTAATCCTAAATTACTGAACAAACGTCAAACCGTTGTGATGGTCTGGTTGTTTTGATTATGTGCAACCATCAACAAACTTGCACATCGAGTTGTATCAGCTCGAAGCTTTTGATAATTCCGTTTGGTCAGACATTAAAAATATAAGTGTCACTCAATAGCCGCCCTGGGGCCATTTTAAAAATAATACAGGGTACGCAAGAATTGCGCATCTCCTGATGTGGTAATCTTGCAATCAGTGTGTATGTGGGAGATAAATTGTCTTACATAAATTACTGAACAAACGTCAAATCGTTGTGGTAGTCTGATTGTTTTGATTATCTGCAAACCATCAACCAACTTGCAAATCGAGCTCTATCAGCTCGAAGCTTTTGGTAATTCGGTGGGTTAATAGTTAATCCCTATTCAACCCAAGTATTTCGCAGTTATTTTCAAATACCCTTACATTGTGCAATAGCCGTCCTGTACCCCACGTGTATTAAGAACAGCATCAGTCTGTTGAACTGATACAGCGTACCCAAACGACAATCGCTTTCAGTTCTTGCGTCATATATTATTAAAATTTGCATATCATAGGGTGCCTCGTGGCTCAGTTGGGGGAGCATTGTGTTGTGCGTGTATCATGCGCAATTCACAAAGGCCCAGGTTTGATTCCTGGTGAGGCGATTCATGTTGGGTTTTTTGGCGTTTTTTTTTTCTTTGTTAACCATTTTTCGAGGTGTTTATTTTCCGAAATGGACAAACCATCGACCAACTTGCAAATCGAGCTTTTGAAGCTTTTGATAATTCCGTTTGGTCAGTCATTAAAAATATTGAAAAATATACAGTGTCATCCAAAAGCCGCCCTGAGGCCATTACATAATAAAGGGTACGCAACTCCGCCTGATGTGGTAATGTTGTGTATGTGGGCGATAAATTGTTTTACATTGATTTGTGTCATCGAAGTGCACTAAATTAATGAACAAACGTCAAGTCGTTGTGGTTGTCTGGTTGTTTTGATTATGTTCAAACCATCAACAAACTTGCACATCGAGTTGTATCAGCTCGAAGCTTTTGATAATTCCGGTTTGGTCAGACATTAAAATATAAAGTAGGAATAAAGTATCACTCGCATCTCCTGATGTGGTAATAGCTTGTAATCAGTGTACATGTGGGCGGTAAATTGTTTTACATTTGGAAGTGCATTTAATCCTAAATTAGTGAACAAACGTCGAATTGTTGTGGTTGTCTGGTTGTTTAGATTATGTGCAAACCATCAACAAACTTACAAATCGAGCTGTAGCAGCTCGAAGCTTTTCGTAATTCGGTTTGTCAATCATTACACCATTCAAGTAATTATTTTAAAAAAAACAACAAAGCTAAAGAGACCTAAAGAATTTAAAACGTTTAGACTGAATTAAGTCACATCTAGGCCGCAAAGATGACCTAATTTTAAAGTATTATTAATTTTTAAAGTATTTGTAAACAAAAAACTATAACTAGCCCTATAATATATACAATATTCCACCAGACGGTTTCTGTTTCAAATCGTTGCGCAAAGTAGGATTTGAATAAATAAAATACTTGGTATTGTAAAACACTAAAGCTACGTACTTTCCAGTATTGAAAATCGCTGCACGCTTTCACGGGCACATATAAAGGTTATCGATTTTGGATCTTATTTTTTTGCAATTAACGTCATCTTAGATTGAATTGCCGATAAGAGTTGGGACCTGTCTCTCTGCCTATTTCGCGTTTAAATTTCAATTCCTAACAAGATGCATATACCATCCATACCGCACCAGGATACTGAAAACAATAAACGATATTACAAGTGTACAAGATTTCCCTACGAAAAAGAAACCGAAGGAGACGTCTTCCTCAAAGTTTTGACTGTTACAGTTGATTTTGGCAACCAACCCGCAGCCAACTGAACGAAGTCTCTATCTCACACGTTCACACTATATAACTAGGGTCTAAGTTTTTCGAATCGTTGATGTCTACTTCGAAGTTCGAATTCCCCAACCACATCAAGTCCTCCTTTTAGCAAACTATAGATCCATTGCGCAAAGAAAAAAAAGGTACTAAAAAAGTATGACTTCCGGCGCAAAGAAACATTTCGCAAAGAAGCATTTCGCAAATTAGTATATTTTCCCGTTTCGCAAAGTATCGTCAGGTGTGCTCGGTTTCAACACGATTACGTCTCAGCCGTTTCAGAGATAGCACGGCCAAGGGTATAAACCTCCCACGCATATGTTCCATTATAAAAAGAGCACTGGGATTTATTGCCCTTAGCCAAAGCGACCGTCTTCTATTTGCGACTGAAAATAATCAGTTTGTCACTTAAGATGAATAACCAGTTATTTTATGTTCCAATTTTACCAAAAACTGGTCCGGGAAGTGAAGTGCAAAGTGTGCCCTACAACGCGCCGGAATTCTGGCCAATGGTAAATATTGTAAGAGAGGTCATGTACAAGTACCAATCGCGGATTCCGGAAAACTTCGATCTGCCACGTCTCGGAAAGGACAAAAAATTCGACGAACAGGTGGTACTGTACATCCATTCAAAATGGGGAAATAAAAACGTAAGTATCATTTGAATACTTTTTTTTCCGTTATTGGTTTTATACTAAATGCTTAAGGAGTGGTCAACTGTAGTCGATATTAATGGACGTGAAACAAATGAAGTTTTTCTTTCGTTCTGCTAGTGCTTTAAGAAGACTCAGCAAATAGCTCGCCTAAGTAGACGTTGTTTTGGCGAAGTTGTAAAGATGGCAGAAGACCCTGGGAGGTATTCCAAAGTCAGAAACTGACATCGTATACGTTCAAGTTCCTAAAATATTCCTACCCAGAGGAAACCGTTTACGACCTACTGGTCAAAGTTGTAAAGGGAGAAAAAAAAGTCGCGGAACTTAACAAGGATTTCAGGGTAAGCAATAACAATGACTATTCTATTTATTAAGGATAATATTCCGGCTAAGTACTGCAGTAAAGGGGCCCCTGTAAACGAACATTACAAAAATAAATGAACAATCCCAACTGGCAGGAGGCAGACCAGTTAGTTATTTTACATGAAGCGTTGTATAGGAGTTGAACAAGGCACTACCGAAAACAAATCAAGCTAGTGGCAAGATGGAGGGTTTTGAACCCGATAGTTAGGAATTTATCAACCTTATAAAATGTAATTGCGTTCTAAACCTTTTTTTTTTTATATAAAATGACTATTCTATTTGAATATAAAAATGACTATTCTAATTGTGGTCTAAACCTTTTTATATTAAAAAAACTCTTATGTGTTTTAATTTTCTAATACGAATAATGTTGTTAGAAACTCGGACTATTACAACTGAAAAACGTGTCGGTTTCTTAATGTTTGAACTTTATTATTTTTATTTTTATCACTTAGCAAAAGAGTGGAGAATCCGGAAAAAAAGAACAGAAGAAGCAGAAGAAATCATAGAAGACGCTGAAGATAATAACGAAGAAGTTCTGGTTTGTGATTTTTTGTATTTTTTTTTCCCGTCTTTTCGTTTCACAAATTTTGTCTACTATGATATCTGTGTTGACAGCATTGTGAGCTATGGAAATTATTATTTTTGCTTGCAAAATTGGTCGTTGTACCTGCTTTTTCCTTCAGTTGATCTGCTTAAAATATAGGACCGATGATCCTGGGGAATGCTCTAGTGTCCGTATAAGACGGGACATCTGTGATATTACTTCCGAAGCTCTCGCAAGCGGACACTCCGCAACTGGAGCTGGCCGCTTACGGGAACATAAGCGAGATCGTAAGCGGCCACTAGCAGTATAAGAGATTGGCCCTTAAACGTTTTTAGTTCAGTTAGGTGTGGTTTCGATTATACTCTTTGTGGTGGGGTCATTGGTCAGGATAGAGAAGCTCATGAGAATAATTTTCTTGACTTCCTGGGTCTTTGGGTGGTAAGTAAGGATGAGGGGCACTTTTTCGGATCGTTCAGGTCCTGTCCATTTGTTCAGAGTTGTGAAGGGCTCCTTCACGGCTGATTTCCTTGGCTCGCCTCTGGCTGGTGGTAATCAAACTTTGTGGATATCCCCTCCTCTCAAAGAAAGAAGACAATTCGTTGGATTCGGTAAAGTAGTCGTTATCATCCGAACAGATCCTTCAAAGTCGCAGGAATTTACTGTATGGTATGGCTTTCTTACAATGAGGAGGAGGATGGGAGGAACCATAATGGAGGTAGATAATGGAGGTAGTTGTGGGTGTCAGTGGGTTTAAAGTACATGGTCGTGGATATTCTATCGTCAGCTATGGAGAGACAAACGTCCAGAAATGGAAGTGAGACTCGCTAATTTGAAAAGTGTACTTCAGGGCAGGGTGGTTAGTTGAACAGAATTGTATAAAGTCCTCTAGATCTTGGACGTCCAGGCCGGTTACCAGAATCTTGATGGCCAGTGTATTTATTTTCATTCTCATCTCTTTCAGAATCAATTAACGAAAAATAAGAATACAGTTGAAAATGAAGAACTTATTCAAGTGAGGCAGGAGGTCGGAGATTTGGTTAGTGCACTTTTAAACGTTTTCTAGTCGAGTATTTTGTTTTAAAAGTTACTTATTTTTTTGTCAAAATTATAATTACGTTACAATGTAATTATAGCATTTTCCAGTGTTTTCCAAGCAATTAACAGCTAATTGGCTAGCTCCATTTCATTGAAACGTCATTATTGTTTTTGAGTTACAGTATTTCAATTTCAGTTGTTTTACCGAGGTGACGTTTGATGTATAAGAAATATCAAAGAAAAACTTGTATGTTAACTTTTTTTTATGCCTAATTTGTTCGGAGTTTTCCGAATACGCGGACGTTCAGTTCCAGTTTATTTTTGGGCTGGGTTTTATTACATTTCGAAAATATCTCTTTGACTTTTTGAGAAAGTACGTAATTACTAATTAAGTCGTGTTGTTGTCAGCGTATAGAACTAGAAAAGCTGAAAGGGGATCTGAGAGATGAAAAGAATACAAACACGGGACTTCGCAAAACCCTTCAGTCGGTAAGTACATTAATTGAATATTGCAAGAGAGAAAAATGTTCCAGTGTAAACAGGTCATGCATGTGAACATTTTTACCAATTCATAAATAGTCTCAAAGCCATGTTTCGATGTATAAATCAAAATACGACATTTCAAAACTTTCAAATACCAATGGTATCATTCCAGAAAAGTTAGGAAGAAATGGAGAATATCGATTTGAACGATGTTTTGGTATTGTTTATGTTTAGGCTTTGCAAGAAAAAGAAGAACTAAAAGAGAAGATATCAGAACTTGTGACGCAAAAGGATGAGATGCGTATTTGGTACGAAAAGGTAACGAGAAACGCAAATTACTGATTCATGCCCTGCTTATTCTAATGCCACTGCTCGTAATTTATTTCCACGAAATAAAACTTGGTTAATGATTATGCCTAATGATTATTATATTAGAATCATCTCATGAATATATTTCTAACTGAATTTGCAAGAATGTGGCTCAAGAAAATTTTAGCATTTTTACGGCAACAACGCCAAAAGTCCCGTTTTATCACTCCGATAAGACTAGAAAACACACCAAAGAAGAGCGAAAAGGTGCGGCCACGTTCTTGCAAATCTAGTTAGATAATTCGATAAGATGTGGCTAAATGACCCAGAAAAGCCTAAAACCTCCATCTCTTGACACAACT